TGGCTTGTGTCAGGTGCACCTTAGTCCTCAAGGAGACATCTTTGGTCTTTAGCACTTGAAAGAGGTCCTTTGCAGCCAATTTGCCCAGTGCTATACATTGTCACTGATGTTCTGACTGCTGCTTCCATTGGTGTCAATTATAGAACCAAACAATGTGAAGTGTTTGACAACTTTAATCTTTTCTCCATTTATCGTGGTGCTGCTTATTGGTCCAGTTGCAAGGATTTTTGTTTTCTTTGTATTGAGATATAATCCATACTGCAGACTGTAGTCTTCAATCTTCATCAGTAAGTGCTTCAAGTCATCCTCATTTTCAACAAGCAAAGTTGTGTCATCAATGTATTGCAGGTTGTTAATGATTCTTCCTCCAATCCTGATGTTCTTCTTCATATAGTCCAGCTTCTCAGATTATTTGCTCAGCATAAGGACTGAGTAAGTATGGTGAAAGGATACAACCCTGACACACTCCCTTCTTGATTTTAAACCATGCAGTGTCCCCTTGTTCTGTTCGAACGACAGCCTCCTGGTCTATGCACAGGTTCCTCAAGGGTACAATTAAGTGTTCTGGAATTCCCATTCTTCTTAATGTTATCCACAATTTGTTATGATCCACACAATCAAATACTTTGCCATAGTTAATAAAACACAAGTAAACATCTTTATGGTATTCTTTGCTTTTAGCCAAGATCCATCTGACATCAGCAATGATATCCCTCATTCCACATGCTCTTCTGAATCCAGCTTGTATTTCTGGAAGTTCTCTGTCAATATACTGCTGCAACAGTTTTTAAATCATCTTCAGCAAGAATTTACTTGCATGTTCTATTAATGACATTGTTCAATAATTTCCACATTCTGTGGGATCACCTTTCTTTGGAATGGGTACAAATATGGATCTCTTCCAGTTAGTTAGCCAGGTAGCTGTCTTCCAAATCTCTTGGCACAGCCGAGTGAGTGCCTCCAGCAGGGCATCCATTTGTTGAAATATCTCAGTGGGTATTCCGTCAATTCCCAGAGCCTTGTTCTTCGCCAATTCCTTCAGTGCAGCTTCGACTTCTTCCTTCAGTACCATTGGTTCTTGATCATATGCCACCTCCCAAAATGGATGAACATGGACAAATTCTTTTTGATACAGTGACTGTGTATTCCTTCCATCTTCTTTTGATGCTTCCTGCATCATTCAATATTTTGTACATGTTGTTGTTGTTATGTGCCATCGAGTCAGACCCGACTCATAGTGACCCCTCCTTGGGTTTCCAAGATGGTATCACTACTGAAGTCGATTGCCCCATCTTCCTTCTGAGGAGTGGCTGGTGAGTTTGAACCACCAACCTTCTGGTTAGAAGTCAAGTGCCTTCGGCACTACGCTACCAGAGGTCCTATTTTGCCCATAGAATCTTTCAATATTGCAACTTGAGGCTTAAATTTTTTCCTCAGTTCTTTCAGCTTGAGAAATGCGGAGAGTTCTTCCCTTTTGGTTTTCTAACTGTGTGGTTTGCACATTTCATTATAGTAATTGGTTTTGTCTCCTCAAGCTGCTCTTTGAAATCTTCTGTTCAGCTCTTTTATCTTGTCATTTCTTCCATTTGCTTATCTCTTACCTAGTTGTGAGAAATGTTAGAAATGAGTATTGGGTATGGATAACAGAGTATGTAAGTCTGCCTTCAGCCAATACTGGATTGGATATGTTAAAAGGATTGGAATTTGCCCAGAAGAAGCAGAGACTTTTGTTTCAAGCCCTGTGTGTAGAGTATTGGAGGTTTAGGTAGAAAACCTGAATCCCATCCAGAACCTTCAGAGTCAGGAAATTTGCATTTGAAAAGACATGGAGCTTCCCCCTAGAACTACTGAGAGAAGAGAAGATATGCATTTGAAGACCAGACCTGAAGAGTTAAAAAAACAAACAAACAACTGTTTGGCTTTTTAAATTTCAAGCAAGCAGTGTGGCTTTGGGTGCATCAAGACAAGAAAGTCATGACCCATGACAGAAACTTTTTTCAAGACTGGAAGTTAAAAGGAGCTGGTGAGTAGCAGGCTTGCATGTTGCTTGCTTGTGACCACCTGGGTCCACTTGATGAGTGGAAGTGGAGGAAGTGCAGCAATGAGGAACCAAGCTGAGTTTGGTACTCTTTGCTGTAGCCCAGAGAGGCTAGGGATGAGAGGAAGGGCTGACTGTCTGAAGTGAAAGGACTTGTGTAGACTCTGAGCTTATGGGCATTAGAACTAACCCCTGAGGGCTAGTGATAAGAGGAGAAGGGGCTGGCTGGTCTGAAGTGAAGGGAGGAGTGTGACTCCCAAACTTGCAACTGGTATCTATGACCTAGCTGGGGTGGCTGGGGATGAGCTGACCAGAACCTGACCAAATTAAGAGGAAGCTGTTTGACACTGATGTTAAGTAGCTGCTATTTGATGGCTTGCTCGAGACTGGACTTTGCTTGTGGATGCAGATGTTCAAATACCAACTGGAACAGAAGATTCTTCAGAGAGAAAGGAACATGCTAATCTCTTCAGAGTACTGGTTTGATAGGGATGGGCAAATTAGAAATTGGCATTTGACTGCTAACCAGAATGTCGGCAGTTAGGAAAATGGGGCAATCTACTTCCACAGATGGGGGGAGATAAAGGCATGAAGTGGCTGGCTTACTTTCTTTCATGGGTGTGCTTATTCTTAACTGATTTTTTAAGAGATGTTAATTTTTGAAGGATAAAGGAGACAATGGCTAGAAAAGCCAGGGGGCTGGTCTGTGGTACAGTGAAATTACTTGGTATGGCTCTTTTAGCCTTGGGTTTGTAACTCCTACTCTGGTAGCGTAGTGGCTAAGACTACGCCTGCTAACCAGACGGCTGGCGGTTCAAACCCACCAGCCACTCCTCGGAAGGAAGGTTGGGCAATCCTACTTCCGTAGTGATACTGCCTCAGAAA